CTCAGCACCACCTTGTAACCCAGCCCCACTACCAGGTGTGGGGAAGAGTGGCCCCTTGCTCGCCGTGTGGCCGGTGCCCCATGCTGCAGCCACTCGCAGATCACCTGGGACTGCCTGTGCCTGCTCCAGACAGCTCGACGTGGGCTGCGAGTACCTGCAGCAGTGGTGCTGGCCCTGGGACATTGATCCCAAAGACATTGGGACTGGTGACCAGGGGGTGGGGCACCTGTCAAGGGGCAGGGCTACCCATGCAGCCCTCAACAGCTTGCCAAAACTGGATAAGTGGCCCTCCGCCCAAAATAATAATTACCCGCCCCTGGATGGAACACTAAATTTGCCAAATCTATGCAACTGCATTTAGTAATTTATGTTTCAATGATGATAAAAGTTTCAAGTAGCATTTTATAAAACTGTATTTTTAAGCCATTACTTTTAGAATCTCATCTAGTAAATCTCCATCCCTGAAATGTTGGTAGCTCTTCATTAAACAACAGACATTTCTACAGACATTTATATCAATTTGTTACCCTCTATTATACATGCATTTGTACAAGTACACAATAAACCGACTGCTTTTTCATAACATTCATGATTGATTTTGTTTTTAAAAATGGTTAATTGATTTGGTTTTAACAGCAAATAGGTATCTTTGAAAGTTTTGTCATACAAATTTAGGGGGAAAAAACTGTTAAGAGTTATTCTCTTGCTGTTTAAAAGAGTTATAATCCAAGAATGCTAAAATCTATCTGACAGAAATACAGTAAAACATAGATCATTTGTACCTGGTTGGTTCACAACCCACTTAGTTAGCAGTATTAAAGATGTGCCACTGATATTTGCTGCAGCTTTTATTTTAAAGGGCACTGCTTCTCCACTCAGCTGGAGCTCATCAGCGGTCCCACACAGTTGATCAGAGAAGTGGCGCCCCTTGAAAGCTGCACCAAACAGTAGAGCACCTCAGTGGTTCCATGTAGCTGTTTGCTTCTTTTCTTCTTTTATATGTAGGAGTTAGAAGAGACATGATGCCGCTGCTAGCAAGATTAACACCTACACTAAATATCCATTAAATCCACAGGTGTTTGCTCTTTGGGTTTTTTTGTTCTTAGAACAATCCTGGGAAGCATCTCAAATTAGGCTGAGTACTTTCAATGCAAGAGAACTGGCTTTATTTGATGGAATGAGAAAAAATATTCACATTCTCTTTCATACCTTAAAGCTTATGAGGAAATACCTTAAAGCTTATGAGGATAAAGCATGAAGCAAGATATGCCAGAAATACTACATACTGGAGGAAGTCAGTTTTCTTCCCTTTGAAAGTCACAAAGGGCTTACATATATTATTTTCTAAGAAATGCTACTCCCTTTACACATAATTTATGTAAGAAAAATTGCCCTGAAGTCAGGAGAGAGATCAAAATTTGATTTCACAGTCTCAGCAGACATCTACTTGAAGGATAAAATTAACCTCCCTAATGAAAACAACTCTAAGACGTTCATCAACAGTTGCAAAATGGCAATACCCCAGAAAAAAATAGATTATACCATTTGAGTAAGTGTGGAGTCACACTAGGGTCCTAGACAGTCTGATTTAGGACTATGTCCAATAAAGTACTTCCATATATCAATTAAGAATCACATTTAACTTTTAGATGTCTGGTCTACAGAGAGGTATCAGAGCTCTGCATCAGGTCCCTATGCTTTCTCCCTATGCACTGTATAGAGTTAAGCATTTCAGAAGAGCAACTGAAAAAAAACCCCACACTGAGTGGAAAGCCACCTGGAGCTTGCCAACAAAAAATGCAAAGAGCAAGGTACATCTAAACTCTCTTCCCTCTCCAGAGCTTAAGTGCCTGGCAGAGGGCTGCAGTGTCATCTCTGCCGACATGGGATTGAGAGCCTGGAATACTTCCCAGGAGGGCAAGCACCCACAACCTCTTTCCAATAACTGAATGAGGTTCACTGTTATCTCTTAAAATGCAGATAGATAGCCCCCTCCTCCTCTTCCTTCTCCCTTTCATAGTGATATTCACCTTTCATTTGACAGCCAGGCTCGGCAAGGTGTAAACACTCTCCAGTTCGCCTGCTGAAGCTGTGCCACTGTGAAACAAATAACATGAGGATTTATGAGGCCAGAGCAAGAGAGAGTGAAAGACAGAAAGCAAGAGTGCACATGCACAAGCAAGAAGGAACTTGACTCTAATCAGTGGGGTACCGCCCTTATTCAGGAGTGGAAAGTCAGGGTGTGTTGTGTTCTGAGAACACATACTTTATAGGACCCATTAGGAACTTAGGTGGAGGAATGCCTAAATCTTGGATCTTGAGCAGACTTGGGCCTGCTCAGACTAGAACAATTCCAGGCAGCTTGGAAATTTTGTAATCAAGCAGGGAAGCTCCTAATGATTTGAAGCACCAGGAAGGTTAGGTGGCACTTAAGCAAGGCCTTTTTAGGTAAGAGCTTAAGGCACCTCAAAACCACTTAAGACAGGTGGGCAAAATATGACTCGTGGGCCAGATCCAGCCTGTCAGGTGGACACCCACCAATTAACTGCATCTGGCCTGGCCCACAGCTGCCCCTGCTGTACTTGACATAGGGCTGAGCTCTGCCCACTCCCACCCGGACAGCGTGCTGCACTTTCACCCATGCCCACAGAAGGCCCCTGCCAGTGCATGTAGCTTCTAAACAGGGCTGCTGCTGCTACCACTGCAGCCACTTAGGGAACTGCTCAGCTCCCCTGGCCTCCTGTCACTGCTGCAGAACTCTGGACAGCAGGTAGGGAAATGGTGGCAGGCAGGGGGAAGGTGCAGTTGAGTGGGAGCCTGGAGTGCGGGGCCAGGGCTGGTGGGAGTGCAGAGACCAGTGTGGAGTCTGGGCTGGCGGAAGTGCAGGGCCAGCCATGTTTCATTGTGCAGGGCTTCCTGTGGCTCACATGCAGCTCCCAGGACTCAGCTGGATCCACACGCCACTGTGGGGAGCTCCCAGGAAGAGAGTCCCGAGTGATGGAGCCATGCCAGCTCAGCCCCACTCCCAGGGCTCTGCCAGTGAGCCAGGGACCTGCATGCGGTAGCAGGGAATGGAGCCAGGCCATTGGCTCCACACATCCCACACCCTACAAACACACGCACATACACCCCACACACTCTCCCCAAAAATATACAAGAGTAAGAATTTATTTTGGGCTATTGTGCAGTCACCTCTACATACACTATTCAAACACACATTAAACCAGACAAAACTACTTTTTGAAATAAAATTAAAATATTTTTTGGTTCTTAATATATGATTAGGTTTTCTTCTAGTTCCAAGATGGTAACTCCCCCTACCCTGCCCCCCAACCCCCTGCTCCCCTCCCAAAAGGAGTACTAACAGGGGCAAGCAGAGGGACTTCAGGAAGCAAAAATCATGGAGGTCGGGGGGCAGGACTTCTGGTCCCAAGATGGTGACCAGGGGGCAGGTCACCTGTCAAGGGGCATAGCTACCCTTGTGGCCCTTGACAAGTCACCAAAACTCATTAAAATTGCCCTCCAGCTAAAATATTGCCCATACCTGACCTAAGACCTGCTTGAGGCACTTAAGACCTTTATAGAATCTGGTTCTTAGTCATATTCAAACACAGATTCAAGGAGACAATGCTTTGAGTGAGGCTGAACAAATAAATGTAGTAGTCAAAAAAATTATTTAAAGCTGAAGTTAAGATCATACTTATCCAATATGTAACAGGAATATTAAAGTTAAACAAATACATATTCACAATATCAGAAAACTGACTTAAGGTTAGAGTTTTTAAAGAAGACAGTTCAAGCAATAGAAGTGGTTGAGGTTGAGACACTGTTACTGGTAAGTGGAAGGTTAAATGAGGGTTTGTGGGGTTTTATGGTTTACCTTGTTATGATATGCAATCTAAAAATTCTAACCAAAAGTCAGAAATTGTTGTGGGAGAACTCTATATACACACATGAGAGGCATAAATGTAAATGAAGATATGGCACATCTTGTTTCAAGAACCATTGACAAGACTTAAGAAATTCTTATTTGGGGGAAAACACCTGGAATGAATCTTAAAAGGCAAAAACTATAGGTAAACTCCTACAAGACATATATTCTTAACCAGGATTAGAAGAAATTGATTAAAGTATAGGACAGAAAATGCATTGCCATGTTTGTATATTATACAGCACTGTCTGGTAGCATGAATGTTTATTTCTGAAAGCCTGAATTTTGGAAATCAAGAGTCTAACTGAATCTCTCTTCTCATGTATGCAGAACCATTGCTCGACTATGGGCATGTCCACACATGCATTAATGCATCTTTTCTAATGTGCATTAAATGTAGTACCTCCAATGTGAGGTTCTAAATTAATGTACATTAGGTGCAGTAGCGCATTTGCACACCTTTTTAGTGACACTATAGTGCGCAGTAGACTATTTTAATACTCATTAGCATAATGTCATGGTTTTTTACACGATGCCTTAATGCGCAGTAAAATAGTCTACTGTGTATTAAAGTGCATGTGTAGACGTGCTCTGCGTTAGCAAGAAGGCAGGTCACAGTGAAGAGGAAAGGAGAGCGCACCTTGACTGCTCTGACACATAGGGAGACTTATTCCACACATGGGACAGGGCTAATGCAGATTACTTTTTCGCTTGAAGAAAGGGGAAACCAAAGAAGGATCTATGACTGCATCACACAACTTGTCTTCTGAGCTGCTCAGAAGGGTAGGAATGCTTGTAGGATAAGTGACCATCACTCATTGCATGCCTTAACATAACATGTACAATTTGAATTATAACCAGGCATGAACTCCTGCATGAACAACATATGAAAAGATGCCATCATCAAGTAATGGAAACACACCCCTATTTTTTTATTTTTTTTTACTGTAACAGTAATCACATTTTATATATTACACTGAGTGCTTTATGGCAAATCTTAAAACATGCTTAAAGTGTTTCCAGCATATTTTGAATACATTTTTTCTGGTAGAAGGATGGACTGTAGGAGAATATTTTAGGTAGGCTTTAACTATTGATACATTGATAATACATGTTGATGATAACCTTAGAATAGAAACAAAGACAAAAAAGTATAAATATGCCCCTGTGTGTGCTGCAGTAATAATATGGAAGTATTATTTTTCTGATGCAACAATATCATCAGATACTTGCACTGAATAAGTTACGTAGGCTTCATTATCAATTCATTTAAGATATTAGATTAGTTATAAAACTCAAGTCACTTCAGCCATGTCATATATTTAACAAATATATAAATATGGTGGGAAGATACAAGTATACTTTAAGTAAAATTAAGACACCATATTACAAAAACTACAACTCAAAATGACAATCTGAAGGAGACGATGGCGATTAGGGACAGTCGGCATAGGTTCACCAAGAGCAAATCATGCCTGACCAACCTGATTGCCTCCTATGATGAGGTGACTGGCTCTATGGAGGCGGGAAGAGCAGTGAATGTGATATCCTTGACTTCAGCAAGGCTTTTGATATGTTTTCCCACAACATTCTCGCAGGCAAGCTAAGGAAGTATAGGCTGGATGAATAGACTGTAAGATGGATAAAAAACTGGCTGGATCATTGGACTCAGGGAGTAGTAATCAACAGCTCTATGTCTAGTTGGCAGCCGGTATCATGTGGAGTGCCCCAGGGGTTGGTCCTGGGGCCGGTTTTGTTCAGTATCTTCATCAGTGACCTGGATGATGGGATCAAGGGCGACTTCAGCAATCTTACAGATGACACCAAACAGGGGAGTGGAAGATGCATTGGAGGGTAGGGCTAGGATTTAGAGAGACCTTGAGAAATTGGAGGACTAAGCCAAAAGAAAACTCATGAGGTTCAGTAAGGGCAAGTACAAAGTTCTGCACTTAGAATAATCCTACGCACTGGTACAGGCTGGGGACTGACTGGCTAAGCAGCAGCTCTGCAGAAAAGGACTTGAGGGCTATAGCAGACAATAAGCTGAATATGAGCCAACAGTGTGCCCTTGTTACAAAAAAAGCTAACAGCATAATGGGCTGCATTGGTAGGAGTGTTGTCAGTAGATTGAGGAAAGTGAGTAGTCCGTTCTATTGGGCACTGGTGAGACCACATCTGGAGTACTGTGTCCAGTTTTGGGCCCCCCACTACAGAAAGGATGTGGACAAATTGGAGAGCCCAGTGGAGGGCAAAAAATAAAAAATAGTGAGGAGGCTGGGGCACATGACTTATAAGGAGAGGCTGAGGGAACTGGGCTTATTTAGTCTGGAAAAGACCGATAGGGGATTTAATAGCAGCCTTCAACTACCTAAAGGGTAGCTCCAAAGAGGATAGAGCTAGATTATTCTCAGTAGTGGCAGATGACAGAACAAGCAGCAATGGTCTCAAGTTTCAGCAAGGAAAGTTTAGGTGAGATGTTAGGAAAAACTCTCTCACAAGGAGGGTAGCAAAGCACTGGAACAGATTATCCAGAGACATGGTGGAGTCTCCATCCTTGAAGGTTTTGAAGACTTGGCTAGACAAAGCCTTGGCTAGGATGATATAAGTGAGGATGGTCCTGCTTTGAGCAGGGAATTGAAGCAGATGACCTTCTGAGATCCCTTCCAACTCTAACTTTTTATGATACTATGAATACTAGCATGGTAATTATTTCTAGGACAGTGGTTCCCAACCTTTTCTATACAGTGGACCAGTGGGGGTGGGATGGGACGCATGGAGCTGGCTGCCTCCCTCCCAGGCTTCCCCGTTGCCGAGCTTTATCCCTGCACGTGACTGCCAGCAGAAGCCACTCACCTGGGTAGACAAATGGGAGTCACGACTCGGCAGCCAATCCTTCACAGCCCAGTACCGGGCCACAGTCCAGTGGTTGGGAACCTCTGATCTAGGACATACTTTTCCAGGTTACTTACAAGATTGGCATGTAGGACTGAAGTCCAAATATTTACATTCACCATTTTTACCTTATGATCCAAATCAAGTTATCCTGTAAAAGGAGCAAAGATTTGGCATGATTTGCTCTTAACAAATCCATGTCATCTGTCAGTGATCAATATGTGCATAAAACAGTCAACCTGTTAGTAACTTCCTTGGCACTGATGTCAGGCTGACTGATCTTATACCTTGCTGGGTCCTTCTCTTTCCCCTTTTAAAAATGGGTAGTACAGTATGTAAGCCTTACCAGTTGTCTGGGACCTTGCCTGCCATCCATGATCTTCATCTATTATTGCCTGTAGCTCTGAGATTTTTTTCAGTGAGATCCTTCAGTACCCTTGGTTGAATACTGCACAGCCTCCTGACTTAAATTCAAATTAGTCAAAAATTCTCTACTATATTATTTGCTTAACATGACCTGCATCCTTCCTGTTCATTTATTATATTAATTCTGCTATTTTTTCTTTGGGTTGGTTGTTTTTGGAGTGGGGGGGTTTTGTTTGTTTTTTCTCTTGTGAAGGCATTGGACAGTTCCACCTTCTTTGAAATTTCCATTAATAGTTTACATTCTTTGAGTAATAGACCCACAGGCTTCTCGGTCTCTCTTTTTCAGTTTTTCCTTGTCTGATGTATGTGTAGAAATCTCTCTTGTTGTCTTTAACATTTCTCGCCAGTTGTTAGAAACCTTTGGCCATTTTTTGCCTTCACTTTTCCCATGTTTGTCATTATCTGTCCACCTCTACAGATGCATGCTTTTCTTCCCATTGCTGGTATGCATCAGTTTAGATCTACCATGGCAGCCAATGCAGCAACATTGGTCTCTTATGGTGCTTGTTATCTTCTTTTTTCATGGGAATAGTCTGATGCTGAGCCTCCAAAATTATGTCCTTTTTCTTTTAATTTGCCTATTCATTGTAGCTTACCTACTATTTATAAAACATGGTTCAAATGAACCTTTTGGAAGTCCAGCATCCTTATTTTGCTGCTCTCCTTCTTTCCTTTCTTTAAAATAATTCTATGGTATCAGGATCACTTCCTCCAAAGAAGACTAAAACAGATTTGGTGCTACTGTAGACAGCTTGCTAGCAATGGTTACTATTTCAGCAACATGATGCACTTCTTACCACCCATCCTCCTCCACAAAGGGATACAACACAAGGAAAAATGCTGACCATGTCAATAACTGGTCCCTTTGAGGGACTTTTGCTTTCCATTTTCTTTTGTTTAAAATAAATAAAGAAAAAGCAGCACCCAAACCAAAGACAGTTTCTTCACCTTCCTTCATACACATAATAACCAAAGGCTTAAAACACACTACTTGAGCAGTTAAGAAAAAATATGCACTGCAGCATGAAAGCAGTTGCCTTTCCTTTCATCTCTAGAGAACCGTTCCAGTTAATGGTCCAATCCTAACTTCAGAAAGTTTTTTTTTTTATATCACTTAATCACAGAGTGTAATTGCAGCAAGCACAGTAGATCTGTGACTGTGTGACAGAAGCCACTGCAATTCCCTATACTGCTCACATGGTCCATTTGGAAACACAAAGACAAAGCAACTAGTGTTTCTCTGCAATTAATGGTCTTTGGATTGGGCCCCTGAGGAGCAACACTGCATGGAAATCCAGGAGGACGGGAATGGGTTGGTTAATCTGGACAGGAGACCAGGTCTGCCTCCACCTGCAAGAAGCATTGTTAGCATGCTGAATTTTTGGTTGTAGTTGTGTAGGTCTAAGGACATAGGCACGTAAGGTTTTTTGAGTAGATGTGATATCTTTTATTAGACCAACTGAGTAGTTGGAAAAAAAGTTCTTAGAAAGCATTTGGGGGCAATCACCCTTCTTAAGGCATATGATTTTCTAGTTCTTAGCTAGTCTGAAAGCTTGCTAAAAACTTTTTTCGAACTACTCAGTTGGTCTAATAAAAGATAACACACATCTACTCAAAAGAATCTTGCCTTGTTAACATACTGCATTTTTTCCACCAGTGGATTCAGAGAGCGGTTAAATTTAGGGTGTCTGGTGTCGTTATCCCTGACCTCGTACTCTCCAGAGCAGTCGAGGACCACGCCAGCCTTCCACTGACATTGGGGACCTGGAAATGACAGCACCACACAAGCTGCACAGGGCTACATTCATCTCAGGCTGAACTTGCTCACAAGGCAGCAGCCCAAAAAAGGAGAGCCCTGTCCGCTCTGACTTCTGAAGAGTCTAAGGGGATTTAAAAAGCCCAAGCCAGGCCTCTTCATACTTTTACAAGAAATGCATAACATGTTGAAAGCTAACATGTTTTCTCCCCTACAACGCATCTCTTCTCCCGCAAAAATCAGCCCCTCAAAATTGGGGAGCATGTATTTAGCGGGTAAAGTGACTTTTCTGTTTGGTGTAAAAGCACCCCGCTTCGCCTGCAGCTCCACCACCATGCCAGTAATCCTCCTTTTCCAACAGCTGAGGGACATTGGCTCCAATGGCTCATTGCTTTTCACTCCGCGGGGATTACCAGCTGTTTGGCACTCCGCTAATCCAGGGCAAGGTTTCTGCCCGCTCCTGGGCTCGCCTCCTATTTCAGCTTGGAGTCGAGCAGGAAAGCAAGGGGGGCGCCCAGTAAGCCCAAGACTGCAAACTATATATTTTGTTCCCGTTCAAGATGCCTTCCCAAAGCAAAGGGCTTCTTATATACTGGGCGCATGTAGTATGAGGAAATACGGTAGGAAGCAGGGCGAGTATACGCAGCGGTTTACAAACTCAAACGGCCGCAGAACGCTGGGGACACGTGACACAAAGCTACGCGCCGGGAGGGGGAGGGGCCTCGGCCTCGCGCAGGCAGAGAAAAACGTCACTCACGGAAGAGTCCATTCTCGGGGATGGGGTGGGGTGGGGTGGGGCGGGGCGGGTTTCATCCCTAAAGGGGGACTTGGAAACCCTGGGCTCTGCCCAGACTCCTCCCCCTCCCCTCAGGCTCCGCCCTCCGGCCGCGCCCGCGCCTTACCTGTCCCGCAAGCCGCAGCAGCATCCCTGAGCATTGCCTTCCTTCGTGCCCTACTTCCGGCAGGTTGACGTGTTCGATGACGTCCGCAGGGCGTCTCATCCAACCCGGGCTGAGCGCGGAGGAAGTGGGTGGGGAGAAGGAAGGAGTTGAGGTTGCGCATGCGCGTGGGTCGCACGGGAAGTTTGCTTTCTATTTAGGAATCGAGCGCCGGAGCGGCGGCCGGTGTTCTATTGTCGTCAGGGAAACCAGCAGCCGGTAGGTGGGGGAGGGGCAGAGCGAGGCTCCCCAACCGCCACCCGTCACGTGGTGGGCGCGGGGGGAGGGGAGCGCGGCGCCGGTCCTGCTTCTCCTCAGGCGCGGAGGGGCCTGGTCCCCTTGGCGACACAGGGGTTTAAGTACACACGTGTGTACAGCCCCATAAGTAGACACACGTCCAAGCCACATGCAGGCACGCGCATGCACACTGCTGCGTATCCTCATGTCTAGACAGATGCACTTGCACATGCATATCTGCAGCCATATGTGTAGACAGATACATGCGTGCATACAGGCATGAGTATAGCTGTATGTACAGGCTGGAACATGCATGTCAAAGCACATGTCTAGACACGCACGTGCATTTGTATATGCATGTGTACAGAGACGATCTGAGCAGGGTGCGGGGCCCAGGGCAAATTAGGCTTTGTGGGGCTCTGCCCCCGGACGCGAGAAAGCGGGCAGCAGATTCCGGGGGAGGGGGTGCCAAGCGGCTGGACATGAAGCCAGCATTAGTGCGGAGTTGCTGCGGCCACTCCTCCTGGCTCTGCGGGGCCCAGGGTGGTTTCCCCAATTTGTCCCCTACTAGGGACGGCCCTGCATGTGTATAGACAGATACGTGCACGTATACAGGTGTACATCCTCGTGTATATACAGGCACACGCACATGCAGGGCTGTCCCTAGTGGGGAGCGAATCGGGGCAACTGCCCCGAGCCCTGTGCTTTGGGGTACCCCGCGGAGCCGGCCGGAGTGGCCATGTGAACCCGGCGACAGCGTGGAATCAGCATCTGGCCGCTTGGTACCACACCCCCTCCTCCACCGCCAAATCCGCTGTCGGCTTCCTGACATCTGGGGGCAGGGCCCCGCACCTATCTTGAGTCGTTTCTGCGCACGCGTGCGTGTGTATATCCACAAGCACAGATATACATGCGTAAGTGTACATTCACAAACACAGATGCACAACGTCTATTTTCTTGAACAGGGGCCAGAACATCCCATCTACCAGAGGTAGGGACAATCTTGGGGATAGCTCTGTCAGGCCTTCAGTCAGTGCAGAGGTAGTTAGGGATCTTCTGGAAGGGCTAGACATTTTAAAATCTGCAGGTCCAGATGCCTTCCACCCAAGGGTGTTGAGGGAGCTGGCAGGGGTCCTCATGGAGCCCTTAGCCTGGCTGTATGAGCATTCGTGGTCATCTGGTCAGGTGCTGGGGGATTGGAAACTGGCTAATGTGGTCCCGATTTTCAAGAAAGGGAGTAAGGAGGACCCAAGTAACTATAGGCCTGTAAGCCTCACCTCGGTGCTCGGGAAGATCTTGGAGAGAATCATCAAGGAGCACATCTGTGGGGGGCCTTCAGGGGAGATCATGCTCAGGGGCAATCGTCATGGGTTTATCAAAGGGAGGTCCTGCCTGACCAACCCGATTGCCTTTTATGACCAAGTAACTAAATCCTTGGATGATGGTGTCGCCGTGGACATAGTCTTTCTAGACTTTAAGAAGGCCCTTGACACTGTCTCTCACCCCATCCTCATCAATAAATTAAGCGACTGTGGCATTGATGCCTGCACAGTTGGATGGGTAAAAAGTTGGCTGATGGGGTGGAGCTAGAGAGTAGTGGTGGATGGGTTGTGCTCAACCTGGCGAGATGTGAGCAGTGGGGTACCCCAGGGTTGGTCCTCGGGCCGGGCACTGTTTAACATCTTCATCAGCAACTTGGACGAGGGGGTGGAAAGCACGCTGTCCAAGTTTGCTGATGACACTAAGATGTGGGGTGAGGTGGACACACTTGAAGGGAGAGAGAGGCTGCAACTAGATTTAGACAGACTGCAAAAGTGTGAAGATGAGAATAGGGTGGGGTTCAACGTAGACAAATGGAGGGTGCTGCACCTTGGGAGAAGGAATCCACAGCATACATACGGGCCAATGCCAGACCGCAGCCAGCAAGGCCAGCCATACCTTGTCATGCATCCAAAGGTGCATCTCAAGCCAGTCCAGAGAGGTGATACTCTCCCTCTATGCAACTTTGGTCAGGCTGCAGTTGGAGTACTGCGTCCAGTACTGGGTGCCGCACTTCAAAAGGGATGTGGCCAGCCTGGAGAGGGTTCAGAGGAGGGCCACCCGCTTGGTGAGAGAGCAGCAGGGCAGGCCCTATGAGGAGAGACTGAGGGACCTGAACCTGTTCAGCCTTAGCAAGAGGAGACTGAGGGGAGACCTAGTGGCTGCCTACAAGCTCCTCAGGGGAGATCAACAGCAAATAGGCAGACCACTTTTCTCTCCAGCACCACCTGGGGTGACAAGGAACAATGGTATTAAGCTGATGGAGAATAGGTTTAGGTTAGAGATCAGAAGGCAATATTTTACAGTTAGGGTGGCCAAAATCTGGAACCAACTTCCCAGGGAAGTGGTCCTCGCCCCTACCTTGGGCAAATTCAAGAGGAGGTTGGACGATCACCTGTCTGGGGTCTTGTGAACCCAGCATTCATTCCTGCCTGTGGCAGGGGGTCAGGCTAGATGATCTGTTCAGGTCCCTCCTGACCCTAGCTACTATGAAACTATGAATGTATGTATACATCCTCAGATAAATACACACACGCGCATATGTATCTATTCACAGGCAGACAGACATGCATGCACACACTTATTTAGCTTCTAGTGATGGGTGTCATTTGTGCCCTAAAGCTTGTGCCACATCTCTCCTACCTGTCCTGTTGGGGTACTAAAAGAGATCACCAAAAACTGCCACCACCCCAGCTTTTCCCATCTTTACTGAGCATCATTATGGCTCCAGCGAGGCTCCAGCCCTTTTTTGATTCTGGCAGTTCTCAGCCAACAGCGTGAGCTGGATTTAATTCAGTTAGGTCTTTGCTTGCTTTTTGTGTGTATGGTTTACCTCAGGATGGTCTGGGCATGTGCCAGTGCAAACTCTGAATGCCCATTTTGGTCAGTAGAGAAGTCGGTAGTGTAACATGGAGTGGACAAGCAGGGCACTTGTGCCCACAAGGACTGCTTGCCTCTGTCTCTGCTGCCTGCCAGCTGCCAGCCTCATTTCCTGCCTCTGACATACATTGCCAGTGCCGGAAATGGGAATTATAGTTTTGTAGAGCTGATCTCCATTTTTTTGCTGACAAATTCAGCCTTCTTTCTTGCTCTCTGGACATAGCCTTTGGAGGCAAAAAAATGGGCTGAAAGTTTCTCCTGGGAGTAGCAAACTCCACTGCCAGTCTGAAGAACTATTATTTCCAGAACACCATGCACTCCATGACACTGTTGGCTTTGGATTTAAGACCCAGAGGCCTTGGTTGGGGGCTGGGGGTGAGCACCCTAAGACTGACCACAACCTTTCCATTTGATAACAAGCAAATTTATTGATACACAGTGTTAGGAGCAACATTCAAGGAATTGTATACATCTGCCTTATCTTAGTGCTGTCATCAAAGTACATCTAGCCAGGATGCAGTCTCCACTCTGATGCTCTCTCTTAGGTGTCCTATGTCAGCAGTCTGGAGGTGGGATGCTGAGGCCTATGCCCCATCTCTAGTGGGGTGGATGAGACGGGCTAGTGGTGTGCCCTCTGTCCATGGTGGCCTGGGTGACCCTTCCTGGGAGACGGGGAGGAAGGACCTGGGGTAGGATGGGGAGGAAACCCTTTGTTACTCTCAAGTCTCTGCTTTTGTATTCTCCTTCCCTCCTGATGACTCTTCATCCATGGCTATCACTGACTGATCTCTCTCTGTGGTCAAATGTCCACGTAGCTCTCCGGGCCTTCTCCTGATTTGATCTGTTCCCCCAAAACCGGGACATAGGCTTCCCTGCTCTGGGGCCTTGTTAGCTGGTGCCTCTTTAACTCGTGTTATGGGCAGTGTAATACATAATCCCTCTATTCCCGGATTGTTTTCCAGACTATAGGTTCTTGTTGGCCTTGTTGTGTTAGACAACCTGTCTGCTTGCAAGGCTGTGTGATTGTGTGACCCAGACTCTTAGAAATCAGTTAACCCCTGCTGCCTATCTTGAACCTTTCTAATGCATATATATATCTATATATAGATGTATATATAGATATATATACATACCTGTAAGCCAGTTCCCAAAAAACAAACCTTTAAATGCCTGGCTCTCTGTTCTGTTTTCCATCTGCAACTAAGAAGGTAGCAGAGGAGGTGGGGAGAGGGTGAAAGGCAGCTGCCCAAGGTGCATTTTTTCCATGATATGCCTTTGGAAAATGTTATAGCCTGACTTTTTTGGTTTGGTCTGTTTAGGTTTTCACCAATCACACAGATTCCAGAGCCAGACCTGCCTTCATCGACTGCCCCTTCTGGCCTTTGTAAAGTGGTGAGAAGATGGTGAATGTCCTGAAAGGCGTTCTTATAGAATGGTTAGTTGTCAGGTGTACTTATTTTTCTTTTATTAGTAGTAGAAGTAATACTAAAGCTTAAAATATTTCAGAACCCATGAACACTTCAGTTCCTGCTCCAGGGATGCCATCATAATTAAGATGTGGAATAACAAGCAGATGCAAGAAAATCATGGGAAGGGGAAAGAAAAGCATGGGTTACACAGATTGTTTTCATTGCTTTTCCATCTCTTTGCCTTCTCTTTACGCTTGCTTATTTTCTGTTTTTCTTCTCAGTACCCTTTGCAAATAACAATACAGACTGGACGTGATTAGTTGTCCTGTTGATTGCATTTAGGTGATACATTCTGTTCACTGGGTCTGTGGGTCATTTCTGCTCTTTATTTACCCTTTCTTCTTGTCTTCCCCTCCTCCTTTCCCCAAGTGGACATCTTGCTTGAGCCATAGTGGTATGCAATTTTCACTGTAGCTTGTAATCTAGAAAAATGGGTTTAATTAGTATGCAAATAATACATTATTGCTTGTAAACAGCCAGTATGCTGCACATAATCTAAACAGTTCCCCTTAAATTATTGATTAAGGTTCAGGTCCTTAAAATTCATTGAGCTCAAATCAAGATTTTTGTGGTATCCGCTTGTATGACCCCGGTGGTGGCCAGGCATATGTTTTATCATGTGTTCTGCTAGAATGGCCTGAAACAGCCACAAGAATCAGAAGAGTTCTAGTGTGGTCCATTCTGAGCCCCTAGGGTTTTGTGACTCAAGTCCACAGCGATGAGGTGTGAAGTAGCCACAGCACATTTAAACATTTGTCTTGGGATCATTTAAGATACAGATGGTCTTCTTGTGAATTTAGACTTTCAGAATTTGTAGTCTCTTGAGTGGAACCATAAGCAACCACTTTGATGGTTGCTCAATTTAGCTGTGATTCTGAGTCAATGGAAGGCCTTGTCTTCTTTACAGGTCTTGATCATCAGACAGTTGCCTGCGCTCCCAACCCACCAGTATGTGCGCGCCCATCCACGCACTTTTGGTGGCTCATCATGGCTTGACTCAGCTCCTGTGCTGACAGAGTGCAAGGTGCACTCTAGGAAGGCACCAGTTGCTGAAGGGACCTTAGAAAAAGGCACAGAAGATTCTACATATATTTCCTGCTGGGCACTGGCAAAGTCCTTCATCCACTCAGCGGAATTGGGTGGGGTTTACTATTGCAGAGGTGCTTTGGTATTGGTGCACTCAAAAATTTTCTGGCAGATCAGCCAGAAAAGTATAGAGTTGGCCCAAATGCTGCCTTTGGGAGAAAAAATAGTAATATTTTGTTAAATTAAATATGGTAATCAGGAATTGGGGTAGCCGTGTGTGAAGAATCTCTGCTTATACTTTAAATACCATCGCGCCTACTATGCTGTGTTAATGAATACCTTTAGGCCAGTTCATGTAATTATTCCAGTCATTGCTGTGCCCTTATTTTAACAGTTTTTGGTGACATTTAGCATTGTTTTTTGTTTTGCATAAAATCATTAGCTTTGCTTCAGTTCTCTCCACTGATCATTTTCCTCAGGAGTAAAAAAAGCCTGAGCAGTAGAAACAAATAGGAGGAGCAAAATGAAAGGAAAGAAATGTGGGTGGGTGTTTGGAAGATCTAGTAGAGGAGGATCTTTCAATGTACATACAATGATGCTCCCTATAGTATAGTTATTTTTGCTTTCAAGCAAGTCAAGCAGAGTCTGTTCTAGTTTTTGTGAAAAATAAGGCAAATGTCAGAGGGAGAAAGTGGAAGTTTCCGACATATATAATTAAGTCATATCGATCTATTATGATAATTTATGCCAAAAGATTTAGTCTCAACTGACAGCATTTGACAAGAATTTTCAAAGTCCCAGTTAAAAGGGACACACTTTACATTTGCTAGTTACCTTAGTCTCACTTTTGTTCCAGGGTCAACTTAATATTAGTATGATTCCATCTGTGCTCTTAGAACTGAGAGTAGCATTGCAGTTGAGAGTAACATTTGTCTGTATTCCACCCCACGACATGCTCATTTCCAGGCTCCCAGTACCTCACACATCCCTTGGATGAGTGTAGGGAGTATTACTCCTGAATATTTTTTTAAAACTAATTCCCTCTTTGAAGTACTTGCACTTTTGGGAGCATGCTTAGCATTCTGTGCTGTTGAAAAGACACCTCTCCCCACACATACGCATTATTTTTTAGAGTTGATAAAAGGTGCCAGTTGGAGACTGAAGTTGTCAGTTGAAATAAACAACCATGCTTGAATTTTGCATGGTATAACACTGCAATAAATATATTAGAAAACATTGCCATGAAAAATTCTCCACCCTTCCAATGCATATGCTAAGCCCCATTTTGTGGGACTGCACTGAGTACTGGAATATACTGAAGTCTTCAACAACTAGATGAACAAAGCCTTTCTGCTGAGACTGTGAAATGATGCTCCAATTAACGCCACTTGTGATGATTTTTGTAGTGTTGACATCTATGTCATGGGAACTGGCCTGAGACTTGCTAATTAATTTCACACAAACCACTAACCAGCAAGCAAATGCTAACATCATCTGGCACTATCAGTTTGGGTCAGTAACCTGTAGTTGGATAAGATTCAGAAGCAGGACAGCTGGGTGTGGAAGAATGATGAATAGTAAATTAAGATGCACATGCTTATTGTGTTCAATTTTCCACTCTTTTTTATGTCATCTTTTAATTTTTTCTCCAGATGTGTCAAGGCAAATTATATGTAACCTCTTTAGAGAAGCTCTAGCTTACAAGCTTTTTCACTTTTCGCTCGGTACCCTGCAAGCTTATTTCCTCACCCAGGTCATGCTTCTACATGTTTGAGGCTAATAACTAAAATGATTTCTACACTGTCTAAAAGAATTACCTCCATTCTGTGGTCCATGTTTCACCCAAATGTGTGGGGTTTTTATTCTTAAGCTTTTTAGTAGTGGGCCATGTAGATGACAATAATATCTCAAGGAACTCTATAAATATGACATATCCTGTTCAGTCAAATACTAACATTGAAAATATTTCTGTTAAAAGATTCTGAACCACTTCATTCTAATACATACACTTCCAACAATGTCTCTGGCCTGAGGATGTTCCAGTTTCCAGAATGAGAGAGAGACTCTTGAAAATGCCTGTCACTGAACAGTGCTTTTCCTGTGTTTGTAAAAACATTAGAATGGTGTGAAGTCTAGACTGCTAAAAATATTTGTGGAACACAGTGCTTACTGCTTATAATTTTTTTCATTATGTTACTTTATATCACACAATCTTGTAAGTATGGCTTTTCTTATTATATGTTATATCAGCATCAGCTCATTAAATGTTGGTTGTTTCTCCCAACATTTTACTGCTAGCTTTTAAATAAAACCTGCAGGCTGCCACCTTAGAAGAAAATGGGGTCTCCAAATAACATGTTGAACATTTATGCTTCCAAACACTGTAATAAAAATGTGGATTGAAGCTTGGGAAAGTAAAGTCAAATTATTAAATAAAGGGATACTTCCAGAAAAGCTTTTAAGCCCCATTTTTTGCTTCATAGTCAGTAATCCTTTTCTGCTATGCTGCACTAATTTTAGCCAAATGTGTTTTGAGTAGCCCAGAAAAGGAATATGTAAACTGAGCCTGTTAATACATGGTAGTCCTGAAAATAGACAATTGAAGCTTAAACTGCATTGTTTGTGTTTTAATAAAACTGTCATTTTATAACAGCAATGTAGTGGCTTGTTGTTTTCAGGTCAGTCACCCAGCTTTTATTTCTCTTGTGTCTTTCAAGTTATTCTTAGCTTCCTTTGTAAAGTGCTGCAAACACAGCACTGTTCCATCAGAACAACTCTTTAGAAAAGCCTTTGGTAGTGATGGGTGGAGGTAGCAAGCAGCTCTAAGAACAGACCTTGCTTTCTGAGCAGCATCAAAATTCTGGCACTCTTAGGCTACAAACAGAAGAAACAGACCTTGTCGGAACCTGGCAATGGCTCTGGTTGCTGTGGCCTGATCTCGGGCATTTGTCTGCAAAGCGGGGAACCCCCATGCTGCCCCCTCCCCGCCTTACCCCCCTTGCACTTGCATCCTCTGGGAATCCCCCTGTGGAGGTGGATTTTTATGGCAGCACAAAGGCAATATCTGTTTGCATGGTAAAGCTTTCACCTTCATGTGTTACTCTGCTGTGTCATTTGATAGTGAGGTGGATTTCAATGCATGTTTGTCTCTGCAGTGACCCAGCCATGAAGCAGTTCCTGCTGTACTTAGATGAGTCAAATGCCCTGGGAAAGAAGTTCATCATACAAGATCTGGATGAAACTCATGTTTTTGTATTGGCCGAGCTGGTTAATTTCCTCCAGGAGAGAGTGGGCGAGTTAATGGACCAGAACTCTTTTCCTATTACACAGAAGTAAGAGTCTAGGAAAGTGAGGCTGGAATTTGCCACTCCAAAATTACAAGCAATAGATGTGGAATTGATTCTATTATTCTTCAATGTCCATGGCTGAGGAAGTTCTAGACAAAAGTGGTTACTCAAATGGATACTTTCCTTATTAAATACTCTTAAACTGAATTTGATTTTTCTCATTTTGAGATATGCTCTTGAATAAAAATATACTTTTCAGAGTTTGCTAGCCCAAATGATTTTTGATGCTTACCTTCTGGTTTAGAAATATTAATGTTCCTTTAACCAGTTCCATTTTTTATTTTCAAATGATCTGACTTCAAAACACACAAAGAAGTACTGTTTCTTATTTATCATGTTGTGTTTAGAATTTTGTGTGGGCTTCATCTTCTCTCAGGAGTGAGTTGAGCAGATTACAGAGTAATAGATTTTTAACTAAAGCTTCTTTATTAAAATGTTACATTCTGTGACTGATAAAAAAAAAATTCCTTGCAAGTTAATATAAAATACTTTGATCTTACTTTAAAAGTTTTTATATAACAATATGAAACATTTTTTCTCCTGTTTAAGCTCATTTATGTACCTATCAATCATTTTCTAGCATAGCTTTTCTCTAATGTAGTACATAAATTATTGTTGTGTTCTGTATTTTTTTATATTTAACATTTAAATGAAAAACAGACTACACAGATTGCAATTTAGATGTAAAGGGTTACTCAGCTGAATATGGGTAACAGTAATTATAGAGAAATATGCCTGCAAATGATGGACCAGTACCATAAGCCTGTAAAAATAAAGCAAATTCAGCAGAAGTCCTAAGAGTAGTTACTACATACCTAGGATGAGCTGCATAAACAGGAGGAAATGGTAAATCTGTGTTTTGGCTACGTAAGGAAAATAAGTTTTCTTAACTTTTTCTTTTTTTCCTCAAGGGAAAGCCTCCCAGAAATTCTCCTGCAGTGCAGAAATTAGTTTGAATTAATAAGGCCCCTTCCAGACTTGGCCTATCCACCAAGTTAAGATTGCATACATAATGGCATCTGTTGAGATTTTCATTAAAAACATAGAGACTATCTAAAACAGAGAGGAAATTACTGTGATATAAAGTACTGTATGACACACAGGTCTGTCAGTGATTTCCCCAACCACACTACTCAAGATAGAAAATAACAAAATAGTGCCTTCTGTAAGACTTAGAAGTGATTATTTGTGAATGCAGGAGTATGGGGATATTGCTGCCAAAGATGATTTGCTTGTAACCGGTTTCTTCTGAAAATCCTCTGTCCTATTAAGAACAATTAAATGCATGAGAAGACCATGGTTTTCAGATGTGTCAAACTATGTAAGGTGAATAATCCTATTTTGTCTTCTGCCTTGTGTTTCATTCTTTTAAAGCATTTGCTCTCTTAACTTAGCTCAGAACTGTCCAGCTGGCAGTTTGTGGGCTACATGCAGCTCGTGAGGAGTTAAATTGTGGCCCCCAGGCTCCTGTCCAGCTGCAAGGATGTGGGGAGTGGCTGCAATAGCAGCCTGAGGATACTTATACACATGCGGGGGTGGGGTGGGGTGGGGGGCCTTAATTAGAGTTACTCCAAGAGCCCTTGCTTAAAAATGGTGGAGGCGCTTTAGTTGAAGTGCCCCCACTGCTGTTTTTAAGCACGGGGATGCTGATATATGAGACACTGGAGTCTGCTGGAGCACAGCAATTGCCATTTTCCAGTGGACTTGATTAATTGAGTCTGTTCCAACACGCTCGTGTGTAGGCCTGCTCAGTCTCTGAGCTGTTTCTTCCTCCTCTGGAGCTGCTTCCTGCCCCTGCCCTAGGCAGTGGGGCTATGTGACAGTACAGGGAGCTGAGGGTGGCCCTGGGATGTAGGGTCTGGGGGCTTGCAGCACACCATGCAGTGGTGGGGCACCAGTGTGCAATGCAGAGGGTGGGATTGTAGGTACACATTGCCTTGGAGGGGGTGCCTTTGTGGGCAGGCAGTGTAGGGGGGTTGCAGGCACACCGTGCAGCAGGAGGGAGGGTCATAGGCACACAGTGTAGTGGTGGAGGTGCAAGGTGCACCAGAGGGGTTGTGTTGGGGGGAAGTTATGAGTGCTCAGTACAGCTGTGGAGGGGGGGCATCCACAGTGTGTGAAATCTGGGGGGGCTGTGGCTCACTCTGGTGTGGACCCCACTAGTGTCCACCGGCTGCTTGGAAGCTAAACAGCCCTAATCTAGCTTGTAAAAGGTGTTAGACATGACTTTAAACTCCAGAAGTTTATCTTCCATTTTGTCTTATCAAAGAACCTCATTACAATCCTGAACTGTTTTTCAACAAGGTTTTGATAAAGGGTGAGCACCCTCAGCAAATGATTTTTTTTTTTTTAGGCTCTCATTAAGCCCCTCCCTAGCTTGTAGGGATATAAATACCAATTTTTAAAAATTCTGTTTAGCCTGCAGTAATTACAACAGATAAATGATTAGTTGGTATGGCTGTTCCGGCTCACCCCCTGGGGCGCCTCTGCTCAAACCAGCACCAGCAGGGTGCTTCCACCCTCCTGAAGTACAGCTGGGACTCAGCAGCTTTCTGGTGCCCTGGCTCCCTATGGCTACGTGTCATGATGAGCTGGGTAGGCAGATGTGTTCTCTCTAGTTCTGGACACAGACCAGGAGGGTGAATGGGGCACTGTGAGGCTGAGCTGTACCCACTTACCTCTGCCTGGCTCTGCAGCTATTGTGTGTCCAGTTAGGAGGCCTGAGCCCAGGCTGTTCATGGCAGGTGGCAGGGAAGCTGCAAGAGACTGCACTGGGATCTGTGGAGCCTAGCTATAGGTACTAGTCCCCCGTTCCACACCCCTCGCTTCCCCCCCGTCTGTTCTGTCCCCTTCCAGATCCTACTGGGCCACCAAGCAGCTTCCCTTCCTTCTCCCTGCTGGATTGTGCCCCGCCCCTTGCTAAACATTAAACTGGTAAACTATAATTAGTTATCACTGGGTTTATGGGTTAAATGATTAATTGTTTAACTGTTCATCTCTCTTACTAATTACAGGCTATAATTTTCTGTCTGTGAAGAACTTTTGATCTAAAGGGTTATGTCTTTTTGTAATGTTTAACTTTGTGTTACGTCAGCATGTTACATGCATTTAGCTTTAGTTTATTGTTTGTGTTTAAGAGAAATATAGAGGGGCAAGAAGGAAGAAGATGCTTAACTACCTGGCTTGTAGAGTTTGAGCTTTTATGGTCTTTGCCCCATTTTCTTTGCATAGCAATTATAACTGGATCCAGACTTTAAGACTGAAGCTTTCCTACTCTCAGCAAGCCTCAGGTCAGTTTCCCTTTCATAATCTCACCAGCCTTACTTGAAACAATTGAAAATAAATACATTTAAGCCGATCAAAAAGTCAAATCTGCAGCTCTGTCTCTGATCCAAGAAACAAAAGTTGTGTGTAGCTGGTGAGGAAGAGAAGTAATCTCACCGTATCTTGGAATCACTATTGAGCCTATTTCAAAGTCTGAATTCGGTAATGTTTACAGGCTCAGATGATTGTCCCTTATTACAGGAATCTATGGTCAGGACCCTGTTAGAGCTAGGTTAGGAGAGCACATGCTTTAAGAAATGGAACTCAAGGCACAAGACGAATACTTATGGACTCAGCCACTGCTAGAGGGGGACAGAGTCCCATGCTAAGTTGATTATGCTACCAGTGGGACAATTATAGTTTTGAGAATCATATCAGTTATGTATAGCATACATTTTATAGGGAAAAAGTTTTATCATTTAAACTTGAATGAGACTCCTTTCTTGAAACTTTTTCATCATAATCAGGTGTCTTTTACTTCTCAGTGTGAAAGTATATACGTTTATTGTAAACCTGATATTTAGTATTTGGGGCTATGAAGACTAACAGGAACTCAACATTTACTAGCATTTAAATGCTCTACACTTTCATTGTGTCCATGTGTTCTTTTAAGTATATTATAAGCAACAAACTATTTATCTAGAAAGTGAATTTCTACAGGAGAGAAATACCACTTGTAAGTACATTGAGAAGGAAAAAATACTGCCAATCAGTTGCAAGGAGAGATTTTTTAGGAATAAAAACTTAATATCAGTGCTAAAAAATCATAGAAACAACAGTCTTTAAATCTCTGAATCAAAGTAACATGATCCCTTAATGTGAGTACCATTCTTAGCATTCATACAGCTACTTGTAATCAAATGTCAGTACATAGTGGAGAAGGTGAACAGTATCTTCTTATAGAGAAAAGAAAAAATAATATCAGTACCTAATGGGGTTAATGCTAAACTGAGATTCCCCAGTGATGATGTATTCAAAGGCATATATGCTGAAAAATAATAGTGTAAATGTTCCAGGGCTACTCTGTTCCTGGCTTTGTTTTCTTGTCTTGTGGCATTATCATCCATTAGTCTCTCATCAGCACAGTGGTATGCATTTGCTGCCAAGTCAAATCTGAATGTGCATATAGGAAAGCCTGCTTTTTATTGAATGTTAGTCAGGAGTGTTGTTTGATTTCACATAAAGAAGCTTGGCCCTTTTTGTGGATGTTTGATAGTTCATTTTGTTCTTTTGTACAGTTTTAACAGGACATGAGGTATGCTTTGCAATCAAATATTGATAGTTTTATAACATCAATCTCTGGAAATCTCTGATTATGCAAAACAGTTTGGAACTTGAGTCAGCAATGAAGCATGGCAATTTAAAAGTGGCATACTGTAGCCATAGGTAAGATATGGACTTTGGCCTATACAAAAATATTCTCATTTGAGATGCATATTATGAATGAGACATAGATCCATTACTATAGAATATTTTTAGAAAGGTAAATTGAATCATTTAGTAATTACCAAAATAATTCCATTCAGTCACTTGTTGAAGGTAACTATTTTGGCCAACATTGTTGCCTAGAATGCCAACCAGTACTGTCTCCTTATACTCATACTCCCCTGTCTGCTTGTACCATACAATGTCTTTTCTTATACTGTATACTCTTTGAAGAAAGAACTGTCATTTTGTTCTGTGTTTATACAGCACTTCACACATGGGGTGCTGGAGAACCTGGTTCATGATAAGAGCTTCTAAGTGTTACTTAATACAAATAAAAGAAATTATAACAATTCTATACTCTTCTCCCACCAAAAAAATCTTCAGTCCCATATTCTTTCCCACAGTTCCACTAATCCTTCCTCCTTCCTGGTCCATCTTGTTTCCACCTTCTCCAGCACATAGATTCATAGATTGTTAGGGGCTGAAAGGGACGTTGTAGATCAAGTGACCCTAGTGAGGTGACTGTCCAGTCTCCTTTGAAGATTTGCGAGGTAGATGACTGTACCACCACTGGAGGGAGTTTATTCTACCATCTGGACACCCTGACTGTGAAGGAGTTTTTTCCTGGAATTAAGCCTGAAGCGGCCTTCCAGGATTTTGTAGTATCCATTGCTCTTGGTCTTCACTGAGTTCTTGATGTACTCCCCTGATGTAGCAGTAAGCCGCTACCAAGTCCCCTTTCAGCCTTCTCTTCTGAAGGCTGAAGAGGCCCAAGTCCCTCATCCTTTCCTCATATGGCTTGTCTTGCAAGTCCCTGATCATATGGGGGGCTCTTCTCTGGACCTTCTCAAGTTTTTCCACATTCTTGTTGAAGTGTGGTGCCCAGAACTAGACACACTACTCCAGCTGCAGTCTCACCAGTGCAGAGTATAATGGGAGTATCACATCCTTAGGTTTGGATGAGATGCAAAGGTTAATGCATGCCAGCGTGTTGTTTGCCCTGCTGGCCACAGCATCGCACTGCCAACTCACATCAATGCAATGGTTGATCACTACCCCTAGGTCCCTTTCGGCTGTGGTGCAAGTTAAATTGTTGCCACCGAGCCTGTGGGTATGTTGGGGATTGCTTGACCCGAGATGGAGCACTTTATACTTCTGAGTGTTGAACTTTATCTGGTTCCAGTTCGCCCAACTCTCCAGCCTGTCCAGGTCTGCCTGTATCTGCAACCTATCTTCTGGCATGACCACGCTCCCTCATAGTGTTGTCCGCAAACTCAGCCAGTGAGCTTTTCACCCCCAAATCCAAATCATTGATGATGTTGAAAAGCACCTGTCCAAGCATGGACCCCTGAGGGACACCACTGGACACTTCTCACCAGGACGACAGATCTGTTCATGAGAACTCTCTGGATCCTACCCTGCAGCCAGTTTTCCACCCACTGAACTGTTGAGCAGTTAAGCCCACAATCTTCCAATTTTTCTGCAAAGACATCATGGGATACTAGATCAAAAGCCTTTTGGAAGTCTAGATATATACTGTCAA